CACATCAACTTGCAGGAGAAATTGTTTGTTGACAATAGCTTCTCTCCACTTGTTCAACTCATCAGGCTTGGAAAACTTTGGGATTTGGGCAAAAATAGTTCAATCAACTCCTATCAAACCTCATCCCCTTTGATAAATAAAGTCGGATGGTATCCAAGGATGAAAGCAGGTCAACAATCCCAGTATCACTCTCAGAAATTTTTGAAACCCAAGCAGTGTTCTCAGAGGGAGGCAGGTTAGTTTAATGGCTACAACTTGATATTTTATTTGGTAAGGAAAGAGATTCAAACAAAATTATCAAACTTATTGATAAGCTAGACAAGGGCTGAGAGCAGCAAGCATGAGGTGGGTGAGTGATTGGTGTTTGTGGAAGGATGAGGGAAGAAGAACTTCCAGAGTGCTGCCTCAGGTATACTACAAGTGTGTGAAATGAATGTGAATTACATGTGACATGTGTAAAGCAGAGAAAAAAGAAATGATATGAGACAAGACAAGACAGTGAACAGCTCAACACTTATCTCTGGCACAATGATATAGGAACACACCTTGGGATTTGGGGATCAAGAGTGCAGTTGATGGAAGCTTTTCAACCAACCAACCAAGTCCTGTTACTTTCAGAAAGTGTCATGAATAATGATCCAAAACAGCCGATGCAAAGTGGGGAAATTGTCAATAATATTGAGAGCTCCAAGGCAGTTGAATCAAAAGAAAAAAACAATGAAATTTGGTCAAAAAACAAACCCAGTCCAGCCCCCCAATAATTTTGAGACCATTTCATCCCAGAAAGATACAATCAAGTCTCAAATACACAAAAAGCCTAGTGAAGACCAAACTGTGATCATTGGAAGAAAAGCAAAAATTGAGGCAATTTTGAGCAATGTGGATAAATTAAAAGCAAGCAAAGATACATTAACACCAACGGTGAAACAGATCCGATCTGATACGGTATCGGCCGATTTATCGGATCGGATCGATTTTTCGATACCAGGTATCGAAAAATAAGGGATTGGATCACTAAGGGTGATCCGATCCCATGGTATCGTATCGAAATGGTATTGGATCGGGATCGGGATCGCATTGCAATCCCGATCCGGCACCCAAATGCTGCGGGCTGTATGCCTTACACTTGGGTATCATGCAAACTGTAAGCAATCCGATCCCCGGATCGGTATTTATCGGGGATCGGATCAAAAATGGACCCAATACCAGGTATTGGTATCGGATCACTCCACCCAATCCCAGTTTTCCAATACATTGGGATTGGATTGGGTGGAGCGATCCAATACCGATACCCGGTATCGGGTCCATTTTCAATCCGATCCCCGATAAATACCGATCCGGGGATCAGATCTGTTACATCCTTGTTAACACATGCCCAATATTTCATTTTTGACCAGACAGAAAAGGATACAGAAGCAGCCAAACAGATTCAAATTAAGCTCAACAAGAAGCTAGAATTATTAAAAAGTGTGTACAGTGGGTGGACCATTATTTTTGGCTGCTTGTTTGGGGTTCTACAGCTTCAAAGCACAAACTTCAAGTCACAAGACTTGGTGAATTGGTGCAGAATAGGTCCCAGAAAATGAATATGAAGAAATAAAAACAAAAAACAGAGTTTCAAAAATTGTGAAAAATAAAAATGGGTTTTTCCAAAAGCTTTGTTATTGATTTTGGGGGAGTGGGAGTGCTGAGAGAAAGAAAGAGTGGAACATGGCAAGAATGATTATAAATGAAATAAATTGGAACCAAAAAAGGTTGAGCCAGGTTGGTTGTTCAGATTGGAGTCAAAACAGTAAATTCTAGTGCTTTTCCACAACATGTGCTGGTGAATGTGCTACTCAACAGTTGTTTGAAACCACCTGGTGACCATTTTTTACAAAATGTTCATTCATAATCATTCTTCTCATGTTCCATTCTTTCTTTCTTCCAGCGCTCCCACTCCCCCAAAATGAATATCAGAGCTTTTGGACAAAAAATATTTTTATATTTTATTTTTCACAGATTTTGAAACTTTGTTTTTTTTTTGTTTTTTTTTTCATATTCATTCTTTGGGACCTATTCTGCACCACTTCACCAATTCTTGTGATTTCAAGTTTGTTCTTTGAAGCTCTGGAATCCAAAACAAGCAGGCAAAAATAACAGTCCACCCACTGTACAGGGTCCAAATCACTGAAAAGTCAAAAGTGCCCTTGCAAAGCCTTTTGCAGAAACCAGATCCAGAAGTTTCTGATAAAGATATAGTGATATATACATAAATCAACTCTTCCACTTGACATTCTAGATGAAAACAAGCAGGAAACTCAAAATGTCTACAAAAAGTTGCCATTGCAGTCTGAGAACATAACAGCCACACATAAAGCAATATACCTGTACATACAGCAGAATCCAACGGATAACCAAGCACTTGAATCTTTCAAACCACTATATCACTCTTAATGAACTGGATGAACATAAACTTCCCAATGGGAATCACAAGGATCTTCTTAAATGATTTTATGATTTATTGTTTACTGATACTGCAGATCATCCTCCTCTCCTGGGTTGGGCTGAACTTCAATGGCCACCAACACAAGAAAAACAGAAGAAATTCACCCCAGATCAGGTGGTTCTTTAAAAAGCTTCAGCCCAGAAGTCCTTGTTGACTGGTCCGCAATCTTCTCTTGTTGCATTTGAGTTACATGATTCTTGGTACCAATCAAAATCCCAAAATGGCTTAAAAAACTTAGTTCAAAAGAGTCAAAATTAGTGATCAAGCCAGTTAAGACAAAAAAATGACAACATTAAATTGTTTTTTTTTGCATCTACATCAGAGAGCCAAACAAAGTGTCACGCAATCTAACGCTGGTATCAACCTCTGATTCAAATTTGTTGACACAAGCATTAGACTGAGACAGGTGCCCGACTCAAGCAACACCCCCCAAAGGGGCAAAAGTTCATCAAAATTCAAGCAACACCCTCCAACAGGGCAAAAGGTCATCAAAAGATCACCAAGTCCAACGGGGAGTGATAATCACACTCCACACCACTTCGCACACACACTCCAACACTCCCTTCTCTGAAGGGAGTGTGGGACCGCACTCCAAC